TTTGTTTTAAAATGTTATCAGTAACTAAATCATTGTTTATTTTTATAAAATTTAAGATAATATTTCTAAATATTGATAGGTGTAGGTTATTACCCCAGAAAGGCATTTTTATAATGTTAAAATCAAATGAGTCTCTTTTATCAAAAATATTACTTAATAGCCAATTATTCTTAACATTTAATTGAAGGTCCAAAAATTAAGCTGACTCATTATTATAATTAGTTTTTACTAATTTTAAATATTGGGAATAATAATTAAGTTTAGGAACAAAGTCTACTAACGTTTTATTCATTCCTTCAAGTTCAAATACATTTTTTTTTAAACTTGTACTGGATGACACTTTATGTTAATACATTTTTTTCAAATATTGATTCACTAATTTTTTAATTAGTGAATAAATAGTAAAAATCAAAAATAATAGTCCAAAACCTTATATAAAAAGGAAATTTGCTCTTTGTGTCCCTGTAGCGCAATGGATGGCGAGTTGGACTTCTAATCCGAAGGTCGTGGATTCAACTCCCGCCTGGGATGGCCGATTTTCTAAGAATGTGATTTATTTTTATTGTACTATTTTATTAGAATAATTAAATTTAATTAATGAATAAATGGTAACAAACGAATATTTGTAATAGTCCAGCACCCTATATGGAAAGGAAAACGGAAAATTACAAGGAAAATCACTTTCTATTTTGCCACTTAATATTGTGATTCAGTCATTTGTATACGTCTATTTATATTAATTGTAGTTATTTAATCAAAAAGAAACTGAAATAAATTATATATTTGTTGACCTAAGTAGGAATTTACTTTATTCAATTCCTACTAATAGCTCGCACTCTATATATTTATTTATTTATCTTGGTGGAATTTTCAATCGTTAATGAAATACATTTTGAATAGCCCAATTGAGATGAAATTTTATATATATGACAATTTTGAATGAAAATACAATAATTTAATTATAATTAATAAAAATTAATTGATTAAAACTAATTATTTAAAGAATTACAAATACACAGCTACGTTGGCATCCTTTTTGGTGACTTAGCATCCCTTTTGGCGACTTGTGTCATAACTTGAAAAGGTTTCTTTCTCACGTTTCAAGGCATTCAGTTGAACATAAATTTCTATACACGATTGTTTTGGATGACAATACGATACTTTAATGATAATGAATAAA